TTAAAATTTCTTATTTATAGTGTCTCCATGTTTCTTTGGACTAGCTCTCCCTCACCCATGAGTCAGAAAAGCTATTCGATGTGTTACTTAAAATTTTTTTATTGGTATGCAATAATTTTACATATTTGTGGGATACATGTGATATTTTGGCATACTTTAATATTTTCCAAGTGTCTCTAGACTAAGAAATTGGCAGCTGTAGCTTGCAAATATGTCTTCTAATTAGACTTTCAATGCAAAGAATCCATTCTTAAAAATAAGAAAAATATAAAACGCTTTGTTACTACATGCTTAATACTAATACATACTATAAAATTCTAAAATTTTAAGTTTTAGATAAAATTCAAAAAGTAGAATTTTTTCAAAGTATAATACTGCTGATGTAATGCAAGTTATCCAAATATATTTACTTATTATTTTTCCACTTAGCCACACAGAAATCTTCAGATTTCAAAATAATGATTTGTTAGTTATTGATAATAAGATTACAGAGATTATTATAGCAGGTATAACAAAAAACAAGTAATAGTAAATAACAGTAGAGGTGCCGGGCTCGGTGGCTCAGCCTGTAATCCCGCGCCTTTGGGAGGCTGAGGTGAGTGGATTGCCTGAGCCCGCGGGTTCGAGACCCGCCTGAGCAGCGAGACCTCATCTCTACTATAAATAAAAAAATCAGCCAGGCGTGGTAGCGCATACCTGTAATTCCGGCTACTCGGAAGGCTGAGGCAGAAGGATCACTGGAGCCCAGCAGGTCGAAGCTGCAGTGACCGGGAGCGGCCACTGCACTCCAGTCTGGGCGACAGAGTGAGACTCCAACTCAAAATAAAATAAAATAAAAAATAATAGTAGAGGTACTGAAAGCATACTAGTGTCAGTAAACCCCACACTTATAAGCCTACTACTTTAAAAGATTGTAGGAAACAGAAAAACATAAAAGCATATATTTCATTAGTCATCAAAATGTTTATATTATCTTATGTCAAGTAATCTCTGAGGAATTCTTCTGTGTACATGTGAAATAATAAGAGTAAAAAAAAATTACAGTATATGGAAATAGCCTTAACGTTGAAAACCCTTATAAAAGATTTGTGGGGAATCCCTGGTCTTCTAGGGTTTGAGTATGTAGTTATGGCATTACATATGTGATGTGAGCCTCCATTTTTTTTGTTTTTTGTTTTTGGTGCCACATGGCTGTAATAAAATTATTTGTACTTAAGTTTCCCTTCTCAGTTATTGTCTACAAATGATAGATTTTCATAAATAAAATTTCTAAGACAAATTAAGAAAATGGAACATCTACTAGTATAGCTGTCCCAGTCCCTCCAAAATGTCAATGTCATGTGGGTAAATGGGGAGAATTGTTATAAAATAAGAGACAAAAACCAAAAGCAATATTTGAATTTTGAGTAGACCTTGGTTTGCGAAGAAAAAACTAACTAATAAATACATATAAGGACAATATGTAATATTCGAGTATGAAATAAATATTAGGAGACATAATAGAGTTATAGTTAATTTTGTTAAGAATGTTGATGGTATTAAGGTTACTTGTTTAGGAAAGTATTTTTATTTTAAGGATAGGTATGATGAAGTATTATGAAATTTTATATCTGTAACTTTCTAATATTTCATACCAAATTATCTATTTATATATTTATTAATCTATACACATACATAGAGGAATTCATTGATTGGAAGTAGATAAAACAAAAATGGCACAAGGGTAACAGTTGCGACTCTGGTGTTGGGGCTGTCCTTACATTATTCTTTCCAGCTTTCAATTTGTTTGACATGTTTTATAACAAAAATTTTGGAAATAAATGAAGTCATTAAATCAAATATTACTAATATTACTGATTTACTTCTAAATCATCATCTGAATAAAGCACTGTTTCTGAAAGGCACTTTCAGTACCTTCACTGACAAGTATGTAATTAAATGAGTAACTGATCAGCTTCACTGTCATTTAGAAGAGGATTCTCATCCTTCCTTCACCAGTGCTGACTGGTGTGACCTCAGGCAAACTCTCAAGGTCTCAGTTGTCTTATCTATAAAATAGATGACAGTAACAATGGCTATCTGATATGGTTGTTGTAAAAATGAAATTTATATTATCTATAAAACCCTTAGCCCAGTGCCTGGCAAATAGAAAGCACTCAAATCTCATCTTCTATTATTGTCATTACAAATTCCAAGTCCTTGGCTCATTCAATTAGAAAAACCAATGGAAAAGCACCACACATTAAATCATCTCTTTGATATTACATTCAAGTGTATTGTGTAACTTCAGGCCAATTGTAAGTTCTTAGGGAACCAAAACATTTTTAATACATCTGTAAGAATTACTTGTAATTAGCATACAAATTGTTACAATAAATAATATTTTGCATAATTGAAAATATTTTATATTTTTCTCTAGTGTTTAAGCATTTTCTCTGGAGGTTTGTTCTTGTAATTATTTTGCTGTAAGTTTTCTAAATCAGAGACAACTTTATTTTGCATTATTATTATTATTATTTGAGTCAGAGTCTCATTCTGTCACCTAGGCTGGAGTGCAGTGGCACGATCGCGACTCATGGCAGCCTCGACTTCCTGGGCTCAAGTGCTACTACTGCCCCAGCCTCTGGAGGCATGTGCCGCCACACCTGGCTAATTTTTTTTTTTTTTTGGTAGAGATGAGGTCACCCTATGTTGCCCAGGGTGGTCTTGAACTCCTGGGCTCAAGCAATCCTCCTGGCCTCCCAAAGTGCTGGGATTGCAGGTGTGAGCCACTGTGCCTGGCCTATTTTGAATTTTTATATTTCCAAATTAGTGGAGTCTAAATGAACATTTTTTGATATATTGGAGAAAATTCAACTAATATATTTCATGAGTATAATTTCAAGATATGAACATTCTCAGTTGTAGTGTGCTCAGTGTTTAAGCTATTTGTAGACCGTAATTCTTAGAAAGCATCACAACAGAACTTATCTAGTGTTTGGAGAATATAAATCTTAGGCTCTTAAAGATAGCTATGAAAATGTTTTTACAGTAACTTATAAAATTGAAGGTACTTACTTTTCCCATTAAATGATTTTTAATTTATTAAGTCCAGAAGTGTTTCAGCTGCTGTGGTGGTTTTTTAGTGTTTCTTCTTAGAAATCATTCTTAATTTTTATTAGCAATAAATGCTACTCAATGTTTTGAGGTATTTAAAAGGCATTTAAAACTGTGGAGGATAATATATTTAAAATGCCCTCCTAAGACCTAATGTTTTTTCCCTTCATTTAGTGCATTATATGGTCAAGCAAATATTAATTATTTTCTCATGGACAAGAACGCTGATGAAAATGAAAATATTATAGTGTGTTTTGTCATAAACACAGCCTAGGATGAAATAAAAGGTATAGCATAAAAGTAATAGGATGGTCTGAAGGAGGAAGCTGATTATAAGAAAATGAGAAAAACTTAGTTGTAGTTTGTATTTTTTATAAATACTCAGTGAAACAGAAATCTTCTAATTACTCATCTCAGGAGAAATTAAAATAAAGCGCATTAAAAGAACAAGGAAGGGTTTTCATGCATAACTCATGTAAACAGCTTCCTCTATCTTCTTCTGTCTCTTTCTGTGATCTGGTCCATCCAGCTGCTGAAATAGACTGCCTTCTGGAAATTAAAACCCACGTGGCTCAGACCATCGCAGTAAATCTGGCAGAACAGATGGTCCTGGGTGAATTGTTACACCTCTACATAAAATCTTGGGATTTTATCAATAGACTTTACCCTAAGTAATGGAAATCAAAGTGACAAATCAACAGCAAAACGTGTATGCTTTTATCAAAAGAGCATATTATGGCTTCTTTTATTTTGCATAAAACCTTTGGATTTTATCAATAGACTTTACCCTAAGTAATGGAAATCAAAGTGACAAATTAACAATAAAATGTATATGCTTTTATCAAAAGAGCATATTATGGCTTCTTTCTAATCAAGTCAGAGTTATTCTATATATCAAATATCAGACATGCAAATATATGTGTTCTCATTTATGACTTTATTTAAACATTGAGACACGGTTACATGAGAATTTAGTTACACGTCCCAGTTAGATTTTTCAGTAGAGTTTTAGAAATTGTATATTGATGATTTTTTAAATTTAAAATCATTTTTTCACATAAAGGAAGTTTGATTGGTTTATGCATTCAACATCATGCAATATTTTAAATTGTTGTCTTAGGGGAGAAATAAGAGAACAGGGTGAAAAGAAGGGAACTATTGTTTTTCAGTGTCATAGAACTATGAACCTGGTTCTTTGCTCCACCCTGTCTGGTCTGATTCTAATAACTCTCCTATGAGGCATTCACACATCCATGTTTTCATGACTTCATTCAGTGTGTGCTGTTGAGTTAATTTGTAAATCACAAAAAGATATAGGGAGTTGAACAAGACAGATGTAGTTCTTATCTTTGTGGAGTTTTAGTTCTAGCTGGGAAGGGCTACAATAACAACTATCTGATTAATTATCTAATTACACTTGTAGTAGGGAATTAAAGAGCTCATAATAGGAGAACTTGACCTAGCTGGAAAAGGCTGGGTAGAGTGTAATGCTTTCCAAGTTGCTAAATGAGTGCTTACAGATCAGCAGGCATCATTAATCAACCTGTGTCCTCAAGAATGAGTAGGAATTGGCTTAGAGACAATGTATGTATAGAGAAGAACTGGAAAGGGAGGTAGAGATGGGAGAAATCTGATGACAGCAGAGTGATAAAGGAGAGTGTGGTTTTCTTCTCATTACAGTTGAGGCACCCAGGGTCACACAGGTAAATACGAGTATAACTGATTTGGCCTCAGCTGTCTGCAACCTCCAAGCTCTTTCTCATACTACATGCCTTTTACAAATTGCCTTGGTCTACATCTAAAGTGTCTTTATCATGAAATGTTTTTTTGCATTTTCATTTATATATGTTGCCATTTTCTTTATTAAAGTAAAGCATTCAGCATCATTCTGTTTTGTTTTTCAGCGTTCCAACATTCCAGAGCCTTCCTGAAGAGATCCTTAGCAAACTTGCTGATGTCCTTGAAGAGGTAATTGTTTTTAGCTTTTAAACTTTTTGAGATGGAACCCATCTTGCTTGGCTATCTTCTTTCACAGCTGTGTGATGAAGAGTCAAAAACTGCAGAGAGACTTTTATATATATATATATTTTGAGTTGGAGTCTCACTCTGTCGCCCAGACTGGAGTGCAGTGGCCGCTCCCAGCCACCGCAGCCTCGACCTGCTGGGCTCCGGCGATCCTTCCGCCTCAGCCTTCCAAGTAGCCGGAATTACAGGCATGCGCTACCACGCCTGGTTGATTTTGTGATTTTATTGTTGAGATGAGGTCTCGCTGCCCAGACTTTTATATTTTTTTAAGTTCTAGGATGAACTATGTATTTGGCTTCAGACAAAAAGCAACTTATAACATCTGACATTTATACACAGAAATGGGCGTCAGCTTAACTACAGAGGGAGGAAAACTTTTTGTTTTAGTGAATACATATAATGCTACTTTGACTTACAAGAATGGGAGATGGCATATTTCTTTTATTTTAATCCTTATAAAGTAAAATTATAGCTATTGCCAACACTGAAGCTTCAGATTAGCAAATTTACAATAGGAATTAGCAGTTAGGTACATATTTTTTTAGCATGTGAACATATAATACATCATTTTATGCCAGAATGTGGAATGTCATTGTTGTTAGGGTACGGATGGACAAGGTGAGGGTGTAGAGGGGCGCAGCAGAGAGGGGCGCAGTACCGCCAGGCCGTTAAACCGCAGGTGCGCGCCGAGAACCCAGAGATCCGAGTAGATTGCAAAGAATTGCGACACACAGAGATGAGAGAAGAAAAGATTAAAAGTTCACCCCCCACAGACAGGGTGTGGGCCTATACTCTAGGTGAGTGTAGCCTCGTAGCCTCCCAGAGTCCTGGCTTAAATCCTTCTCTTGGAGATGTTGCAGGTGACTGCCGTGACTGCTGTGTATTCCTTGTCGACCACCCTGGATGTCTTGGAGATCCTGTGACACAGAGAGCCATTAATGTCTGCCCACATTATCATAGCCCCTAGAGAACAGCGTGATAAGGATTCTAATTCTCCTGCACCTTCCCAAGTGACATTCCTTAGACCTAATGGAGGGTGTACCCCCCCTTATCTCCTAGGCATTCCCAGTAGGTAGCTTTGGGGGATCCTTGGCTTCCCTGTAGATAGTGCCCAATTTACTGGAAGATCAAATCCCTACCTGCTCCCCCTCTGAGCGGTCATAACTTTTATAATTACAAGTTTCATGACTTTTACAATCCTTGCCCAATACATATGTTAGGCCTTGTAAATTCCCTTTAATCTGGGCAAGCTTGATTGCCACTATGAGATACCTCAGAGACATGGAAGTCTGAAGAAAGTTGGTAAAGTTAGTTTTACTTAAAGTATGCATTTCTCCAAAAGCATAGCTTCTACGTTCTCATCATTGTGTCAGGGGTTAAGAACAAGATGAAAAATGGCTTCCCACTCTCAGTCTGTCCTTTCAATTGTTGTTTTCTCTGAACCCATAAAACCATGGTTTTGAAGAAGAGGAGAAACAAAACAACGTGCATTAGGCTATTTATTTGTCGATTGAGATGCTAACAGCATTAGCAGAACAAAGTTCTTACATTCAAACTGATGAGCTCTATACAAACGGTAAAGCAGACATGTTTTAGTGTCTAAAAGTATTGGGCATATGAGTTTTGTTTCAGGTTGGAATGACTTTAAAAAATCGTCTTTTTCCTTTTGCTGAGGAAGTATAGATACATTGATGGTGTAGGGAAGTTCAAACTTTCCTTATGAAGGTTCAAGGGTAAGTCACTTAAAAGAATTGACAATGGGCCGATTAACAGGAAAAATAGGCTTACAGGAAGAATGTACCTGAGGAGTTTAAGGAATCATCAGAGGCTCATTGTGACAAGATTGGAATAAAGGATCAAAAGGTGTGCATGGAGCACTGTAGGAGCAGGCAGGTCGTGGAGGGTCATTTAGACCATTGCAGTTAATTTGGCTTGGATGGCTCTAAGCAGAGAAATAAAATTATGTGACTTAGATTTTTAACAAGATGGCTGTGGCTACTGAGCTGAGAAAAAAACATTGTAAAGGCTGCTGAGATAATCCAGAGAGAAATGGTGGTAGCTTTGTTCACTGTGGTAAAAGGATATTGGAAAATTGTCAGATTTTGACAGTATTTTGAAGGTAAAACTGACAAGTTTTACTTTTTTTTTTTTTGAGTTGAAATATCACTCTGTTGCGCAAGCTGGAGTGCAGTGGCACGTTCACGGCCACCGCAGCCTCGACCTGCTGGACTCAGGTGATTCTTTCGCCTCAGTCTTCCAAATAGCTGGAACTACAGGCATACGCCACCACACCTGGCTAATTTTTTGATTTGTTGTAGAGATAAGGTCTCACCAAGTTGCTTAGGCTGGTTTCAAACTCTTGGGTTAAGGCAATCTTCTCACCTTGGCCTCCGGAAGTGTTGGGATTATAGGCATAAACCACTGTGCACACCCCAGACAATCTTTACTTTTTATAGTAAATGTGTGAAGTAAGAGAAAGAGAGGAATCAAGGATGACCCCAAGGTATCTGTTGTGAGTAACTGGAAGGATAGAGTTGTTATTAATTGACATAAAGAAGATCGAGAGAGGAGTACATTGAGGTGAGGAGATAAGAAGTTCAGGGTGACAGGATGTGGGAAAATCAGAAACTTAGGAATCTCTGGCAGGTAGATAGTTTGCTGTAGCATGTCTTGTGTGGCAGGAAGCTGTTGGTTGTCTGAGTATCATTCTGGAAGACCGAACATGAGTGAGTACAGGACAGAACCCTGAAGCAATACCATGAATGTATCTTAAAAACTCATTGCTGAGAGAAAAATTTAAAACAAAAAAAGAGAGTTAGTTATTGAAATATCACTTATTTTATTTTATTTTGTTTTATTTTTGAGTTGGAGTCTCACTCTGTCACCCAGACTAGAGTGCAGTGGCCGCTCCCGGTCACCGCAGCCTCAACCTGATGGGCTCCGACGATCCTTCCGCTTCAGCCTTCTAAGTAGCTGGAATTACAGGCATGCGCTACCATGCCCGTCTGATTTTTTGATTTATTGTAGAGATGAGGTCTCGCTGCCCAGGCGGGTCTCGAACCCACAGGCTCAGGCAATCCACTCACCTCAGTCTCCCAAAGGCGCGGGATTACAGTCTGAGCCACCGAGCCTGGCTGAAATATCACTTATATACATTAAAATATCTGAGCACAAAAATGTGGTTTGCTGGGAGTTATTACATAGAAAATATTGAAAATTGGATACATGGGAATAGTTGCCTATATTAGAAGGAGGAAAGGAGAGCTATGGGGATAAGAGGGAACAAACGAAGGAACAAAGGAACGAATGAACAAAAGAATGAATTAATAAATTGAAGAGAAAGACATTGAATGAAGCCTTGCTTGACCCTTAACATTTCTACCTTAAGAAACTGGAGAGTGAGTGAAGAGTGAAAGTCTGAAAATAGGAGGGAAATAAGGAGAATTTTGTGCCTTGAAATTTAAGAGAAGATAGTAGTTCAGAGAAGAGTCAGCAAGCTTGGGTTTGAATCTTGTTGAAAAAACAAGGAGAGAAATGGGGTCAGCATATGAGAAGAGGGCATTGAGATTGGGAAGAGTGCTGGAAATATTGAAGGAGACAGAGAGAAGGTTTGCACATATGGTTTATTGAATAAGCACAACAGCTCTCTACTGCCCATTGAATTAGGGAAGACAGATTATCTGGGCACACATGCAGGCAAGGGGTTGATGGGGTGGTTGGAGCTGAGGAAAATCTGTTTTGATATGGTCTATTTTCCTGGTGATATAAAAGGCAAGAGGATTGGGTAGAGGTATGAGTATTTTGAAGAAAGGGACAGTATGAGAGAAATCAAACAATGAATGGACTAGGGAAATGTAGTCTGATTGCCAGATATTGTTAAGTCCCCACATGATGCTAGCAATCACAGATCTAAGTTGGGGGGGAGTTTATTCAAGACGACTGAGATAGTTCAACTTCGTGAAACTAAAGGTGAAAGGATTTTTTGAGCTTGGGGTGAGCTAGTGGAAAAGTACTAGAGGAGCACTCCAGTGGGGGTAACTGCAGTAGGGAAGTGGCTGTTCAATGTGATCAGACCATCTGTGTTTGATAATTGTCCCTTTAGGAAATTAGACTCCTATCCTCCCAAGAGACTAAGAGAAAAGGACCCTGTCTCCTTCTTTCTATGATTACATTTCCAAGGGATGGATCCCAGGTCCTTGAGAAAGACATTCGTCGGCTATGAAACCAGCTGGGGAAAGTTTTTCACCTCAAAGAGGCAGATTAAGAATTTACAGTTGAAAGCTGTTTTAAGAAAAGGGGTATCCAGAGCCTTGAGTCAGGCAGAAGCCTGTCTAAAGTTTAGTCAAACTGAGAGGAAGGTTAAAGCAGTCTTGGCCACTAGAATGTTTGATTCTGTGTTGTTTTGGTTTGTTTGTTTTTAGCCTCGTTTGGTTGCCTGGGTCAAGGCTCCGTGTGAGCACAGGATTGGATTTAACCAGGAGTGGTATTTTGACAAGAGAAGATGGAAATAGGGAGATGTCAGTGCATGCAAGAGAATGATTAACCTTTGACTCATGGATTGACCCTGGAATTTAAACTGGGCATGGAGGAGAGGAATAATAGGATGGGCAAAGCTAGTGAGAGGTTGTAGAATCAGAGGATTTTTGTCTTATGAGTTTGAAGAATTTTTGGAGTAGGCCTACAAGAGGGAATATATTGGAAAGATACTGAAAATGTTTTTATCTTTGGTTATTGACTATACCAATAATTCTATGATCCATATACAAATCCTTAGTTTGAAGTTTGTTGAAGTCAGCTTTCCTGTGATTTATCAGTCTCCTTCTTCTTATATGTGACTACAAAGTGAAGTAAAACATTGTCACATTTGACTCCTATGTTCAAAGTATTAAAAAATTTATGAGAAAAAGCACTGCCTGTATTTTTCTCTGAATGTGCTGACCTTT